TTTTTTTTTTTTTTTTTTTTACAATAAAAATATGTGAAGCATCAACATTTTATGTAAGATATTTGTTATTTAGGTGCAAAACAGATTTGAGCATCCTAAGAAATGCCCCAAAGTAATTTCTAACAGACTTTAAGTAGCTAAATGTCGAGTCAACTTCCTGTTTATGGGATGAAATGTTGGGATCGATTAGGAAGTGTCCTAAAACTTTTAATTGTGTGAATGTTCAACAAATCATAAATCAAAAACATTCAGCTCTTTCAGGACAATCCTGCTACGACTTTTGGTATTGGTGCAACTTTAGCTATTTGAAATATTTAGCCTTTTCTGCCTATTTTTTCATAGAAAATGAATTTAGCTTATTTTCCACCCTTCAAATCTTTAGATCCGTTTACAACCTTTTATTGCTCGTTCACATTTTGTTCTCATTCAGCTTCCTTGTGCAAAAGTTAAATTTTTTAGCTACTTTCAGCTAATTTCAGCCTTTTTCCCCCCAGATGTTTTGTGATCCTTTCAGCTCTATTCTGCTAACTGCAACATTTTTATGCTTATTCTACCTTCTTTCTGGTAATTTCATCTCGTTATGCTCCTTTCAGATCATTTCTGTAAGTTTCAGCCATTTCTGATATTTCAGCTAGTATTTGGCTCTTTTTATGCTAATTTTAGCTTCAAATTTTTTTTTATAGCTAATTCAACTTTTCTTTTTTACTCATTTCAACTTTTCCCAGCCTAATTCAGCAAAAATGTGCTCTCTCCACTTCCTTCTGGTAATTTAAGCTTCTCTCTGCTTTTGTAGCTACTATTCAGCTGTTTTTGGCAAATCTCTGCTTTGGTCGGATCATTTCCATTTTTGTGCTAATTTCAACTTTTTTCAGCCTAATTGGGCACAATTATGCTCCCTCCACTTAATTCTGGTAATTTAAAATTTGTTCTACAATTTCAGCTACTATTTAGCTATTTCTTGCCGATTTCAGCTTTTTTTTTTTTTTAGCTAATTTACTAAATTTTGTGTTTTTCACTTCCTAATCCATTCACAGTAAAAATAAATGTCCGGTCCGTGTCCGAACGTGCACCTTCTTCTGCAGAGACTCGGTGCTTCTTGTCCTCCGTCCAGAGGAAGACGTTCAGCTCTGGGTCCACAAACACTCGGCAGTACCCGGCTACGAGGCAGGACATGTCCTTGGCTGCAGTCGCCTCCAGCAGTAACGTGATGGGCTGGAAGCAAAATGAGAAAAACACTTTCAACTCAAACAATAGTGTTTTTTTTTTTACTACTTCTGCAGGTTTTGTGCAGTTTTTGGCCATTCAAACACTAAAACGTTGGGATTATTCAGGAGGTGGATCATACGGCTTTTTATAGCTTTAGTACTTTAAAAAGTATTTACAAATTTCAACACATTTCCATGGAGAAAATATTTGTAAATTCCTTCAAAAACTTTTTATTTGAATAAAAACAAAAGTGCTTCTGGTGGATTTCTCTGTCTCTTTAAGCCACTTTTAGGTTTTAGCTAACATTTGGCTGCGTTTAGCTAGCATTTTGACTTCAGCTATTCTTAGCTTTTAGCTACAAATTCTCTCATTTTAGTTAGCCCTTTTGCTACATCTAGCTTTAAAATAGCATTTTTCTTTTTTAAAATTTAGCTGATTTTCAGCTTATTTTAGTGTTTAGCTAGTTTTCTACTACTTCTAGTTTGTAATCATCTTTTGCTACTTTTAGCTGGCATTTTATAGCTTTTAGCTATTCTTTTGGTACTTTTAGCAACAGTTTCACTGTTAGGTTTTAAAGCTATCTTTTTGGCAACAGAGCTAGTGTTTTGCTACTTTGGCTTTTAGCTAGCGTAGAGCTTTATTAGCTTTTAGCCAGCCTTCTGCTATTTTCAGCTTATAGGTAACCTTTGGATGCTTCTAGCTAGCGTTTTTCAACATTTAGCTGGGCTTTTGATATTTTTAAGCTAATATTTAGCTGTTTTTGGGCTTTTTGCTAAGGTTTGGAACCCGACACCATTTTCTTTCAGCGTCAACAGCTTTGCTTCAGCTCTCAGCGTTCAAACTGTTTTTTTTTTTTTTTTTTACAGATTAACGACCTCTCGTTCAGTTTTGTCTTTTTATGCTGAATCCTGTTCGCTTCAGGTACGAGGTGCGTTTGTATCTTTTTGTTTTCTTTTTTCTCCAGGTCTCACACCTTGATGTCCTGCAGGTAGATTTTGACGAGGCTGACTTTGTCGGATTCAGGCAGCAGCTCGATGCGTGTGATGCTGCTGAACTCCGTCAGCGTGGTCAAGATGCTCAGCTTGTGGTTGACCACCTGACTCACTCCGTAACGCGCTCCGACCAACAGGGCCACCGTAGACTCCCGGTCCTGGAGCTGAGGAGGTCCGTGCACCACCAGAGAGGAAGCGTACAGAACAAAGAATCGTAAGAAACAGGTTTGGATTAAAGTTCTGCTTTTGTTCCTCCTCCATCTTCTCCTCACGCCCAAGTGAAAGTCCTACCATCATGGTGGCAGAAAAGGACTTCCCTCCGAAGCACTTGAGATCGCTCAGCTCCTCCAGGTAGTTGATCCGAGCCTGATCCACCGACAGGCCCTTCTGTTTGGGGTCGTGCAGCGACTGGCTTTTCTTCATGTGGTAGCTGATGGCCTTCTTCAGGTCTTTGTCCCTCATGTTCCTCAGTAACGTGGAAGAAACAAAGTTCTCAATGCCCCACGTCTTCCTGGAGCAAACGCAGAAACAAAATGTTTTGTCTGATGGTTAGAGAACAAAGGATTTATCTTAATGAATGGCCTTCACCTTAAATTAATGCAAAACATAACTAGAGAAATTAAGTTTCCTGTGAAAATGCAGCGTGAATGCTTATTGCCGAAGAACTTGCTGAAAACAAGCTGAAATTAGCAACAACAAAAAACATGCTTAAATGTAGCTTAAATGGAATAACAAGCCTAAATTAGCAGAAGAAAATAAAAAGAACATATGTTTACTGAATTAAGTTTGAATAAGAATTGAGCACAAAAATGAGGAAATTAGATAAAAAAATTTTTTTAAAAAGCTGAATTTTAGCAATGACAAAAAAAAAAGCTGAAAAGTAACTGAAAAAGCAGAAAGAAGCTTGAGCTACCAGAAAGAAGCACAAAGAGATGAAATGGGCAAAAACAAACAAACGAGGAATTAGCTGAAAACGCTAAAATTAGCACAATGCCGCCCCCAGCTAAATAAATAGTAGCAGAAATAGCATAAAATGCTGAAACTAGCAGAAAAAAGCTGAAAGGAGCACAATAAGATGAAATTAGAAAAAAAAAGTTAATTAGGCTGAAAGTAGCCAAAATGAAAAACTTAAATTTATCTGAAAACAACAAAAAATAGCTAAAAAAAATGCAAAAAAAAAAAAAGGTAGCTGAAAAGGTAGAACAAGCTTAAATTAGCAGAAAAAAGCAGCTAGAACACATTTGTACAAATAAGCTAAAAGAAGCAGAAATTAGAATAAAAACGTGGAAATTATCTGAAAAAAATATTAAATGTGCAAAAACATCCTACAAAAAAACCCAGCTGAAAAGTAGCTAAAAACGCGGAAAGAAGCTTAAATTACCAGAAGGAAGTGGAGAGGGCACATTTTTTATGAATACGGCTGAAAAAATTTAAATGAGTGCAAAAACTGTGGAATTAGCTGAAAAATCTAAAATTAGATCAAAAACAGTTGAAATAGCAGAAAAAGCGGAAACTTGCAGGAATAAGCTGAAATGAGCAGAAAGAAGATTTGAAGCACAAAAATGTTGTAATTAGCTAAACATTGCACCAAACATTTGAAAGAACAGCTGAAATTATCTGAAAATAGCTGAAAGAAAGTTTTAATTTGCAGATGGAAGCTGAAAGAAGCTGAATCAGAACAAAATGTGAAAGGAACAGTAAAAGGTTGTAAACAGATCTGAAGATTTAAAGGATGGAAAATGAGCTCAATTCATTTTCTATGAGGAAAAAAAGTGTCAGAAAAGGCTAAATATTTAAAAAAGCTAAAGTTGCATCAATACCAAAAGTCATAGCAGCATTGTCCTGAAAGAGCTGAAACGTTTTGATTTATGGTTTGATGAAATAGCTTAAAAACCACAGGACGAGAATCACGCCAAAAAAAACGTACAGAAGAAAAATGGATCTCAACTGTGTGAACGCTTCATAAACATTCACACTTTTACAAAACTACGCTTTTATTTTTTATTTTTCAAATCACTTTAGTCCTGAACGCTTCCGTCGGGGTTTCCAACTGAACTAAAGCCTGGATGAAGTTCTTTACTGGATAAAAGCTTCTGCTAAATGAGGGAATGTAACGTTCAGGAGCCTGAGGCATCATTTTTACGGGTCCATTTATTTTATCTGACCAGGTTCAACAGAACACCACCTGAGAAAAATGACTACAGAATTATTCTGAAGTGCTTCGAGTGCATCAACAGAAAACACAACACACCGCTCTAATTTAATGCTTTTTTTCAGTTCTGCAACAACAAAACCTTCGTAGAGCTGCAAAGATACAGATTTCCAGAGGACTTTGAAATCTTTTCTGCCGTAACAGAAGGTGTCTCACGTGACGGTCTTCAGGTTGGCTTTGGGGGACAGTCCGCAGCTCACCAGCCTCTCCTGGATGTGCAGCGCAGCGAGCCTCAGGGCCGTGTTGCACCTCATCTCTACGGCGTAGCGTTCCTGCAGCACATCGTTCACCCCCTAACAGAGAGAGAAGGTACAAATTAAAAAACAAAACAAAACATCTCGTTTCGTTATTTCCACCTCATCGTGTTGTGAATGATTTTCAAGCAGCTACTTTCAGATGTTTTGTGCTCCTTCCTGATTATTTCTTCAAACTACAACATTTTTGTGCTTCTTCAAACTTCTTTCAGCTAATTTTAGCTTATACACTACTTCCAGCTTATTTCTGCAAGTTTCAGCTTTTTCTGCTATTTCAGCTACTATTTGGCTGTTTTTATGCAGATTTTTTTAGTTTTTTCAGCTAATTCCACATTTTTTGCTCTTGTTTCAAAGTTTTTTTTTAGCAAAATTCAGCAAAAAAATTGCTCTCAACTTCTTTCTGGTAATTTAAGCTTATTTCTGCTTTTTTTTTAGGCTAGCTTTCAGCTGATTTGTGCTAATTTCAGCCTTTTCAGATAATGTCCACTTAATTTGTGTTAATTTCTGCTTCTTTCAGCCTAATAGGGCACAATTGTGCTCTCTCCACTTCCTTCTGGTAATTTAAGCTTCTTTCTGCCGTTCAAGCTAGTTTTCAGCTATTTCTTGCTCATTTTAGCTTTTTTTATTTTTAAAGCAAACTTAAAAAAATTTGTGCTAATTTCTGCACATTTAAACAAAGTTCAGCAAATGTGTTCTTTCTGCTTTCTTCTAACTTAGACTTGTTCTTCCATTTCATCTACATTTCAGCATGTTTTAGCTAATTTCAGCTGTTTTTCAGCAAGTTCTTAAGCAATAAGCATTCACATTGTATTTTCTCTGAAAATGTCATTTCTCTAGTTTGCTTTAAAGTAGAGTCACACCTGCAAATAGAGGTACTCGAAGGTGCAGGGGTCGTCCTCCAGCAGCGTCCGGAGGTCTTTGGGCAGAAAACAAACTCGGAACAGACACCTGTAGTCATGAACTTCTTTCCTCTGGACCACCTGAGCACACACGTGCACGAGTTATTCTACAAAGACGTTTCTAGCAGCAGCGGAAGGCTTCATCCTCGGACGGTGTACCTGCTGTATCCTCTCGTCCCTGTGCAGCAGCAGGAGCTTGCTGCTGCTGTGCTGCTGCTCAAGAACAAGGGAGAAGTGCTCGATCCGACTCAGAGAAAGTTTCTCCTTCAGCGTCATCACGATGTCCTGATGGGGAGAGGACATTTTCAAAGAGAAGACTTCAAAATGACAGAAGAACTTAAAAGTCCATCATGGCTACATGTGGAACAGACTACAGTATTTTTCGCTGTGTAAGTCCCTGTGACTTGACACATTGAAGCGACTAATATGTTTTTTCTCCATATTTATGATCTAATTTTTGGCTGAAATCTGACTATTTCATTCATTCTGACATGGAAAATATTGAACACTACCATTTCCAGCCACTAGAGGGCCCTCGAGTAGTATGGCAAGCCAAGTGTCTCATTAATAGATAAAAGTGGTTATTAATGAGACACTTGGCTTGCCATACAAGCCACCTTCGTCTCGCTCTGGAACTCTTGAAGCAAACATCAAATCAGCTTCATTTCACTGCACCACCCAGGAGCAATGCAGCTGATTTGATCATCCATTATCTTTTACCCGCTTCTTCCATTTTGGGTCACGGGGGTCGCCGGTGTCCATGTCCAGCAATCACTGTGCGAGGGGCGGGGGACACCCTGGACAGGTTGCAAGTCCATCACAGGGACACATAGAGACAAACGAGACAAACAACCATTCACTTTCTCACTCACACCTAGAGACAATTTAGAGTTACCAATCAGCCTAACATGCATGTTTTTGGTCTGTGGGAGGAAACCGGAGTACCAGGAGAAAACCCACGCATGCACGGAGAGAACATGCAAACTCCACCCAGAAAGGCCCCCGGACAGGGATTTGAACCAGGGACCTGCTCGCTGAGAGGCAGCAGCTCTACCAGTTGCACCACCGCGCTGCGCTGGTTTGACCATTAAAGTGAATTTATTAAGGTAAAGTTCGACAGAGAAACATTTTTGCTATAATTTTGAGCAAACAATTGTTTTTAAGTGGTTATCTTGTTAAATTTCGAAGAAATGCACTGAACAAATATCGTATCTTTTGTGTTTCCAGTCAGCTCATAGAAAGAAAGAGAGAAAGAAAGAAAAAAGAAAGAAAGCAAAGAGAAAGGTAAAATAAATAAAAAACAAAAAGACAAAGATAGATAGAAATATACAAACAAACAAAAGAAGTAAAGAAACAAAGGAAGAAAGAAAAGAAAAAAGGAAAAAGAAACAGATAAAATGAAAGAAACAAAGTAAAGAAACAAAGAAAAAGAAAAAAGAAACGGATAAAATGAAAGAAAGAAAGAAAGAAAGAGAGCTATGTTTTATCATTGCAAGTTTCTATAAAACGATGAAATTGCTTCTCTGCATTGAACCCATCACACCTGAGGAACACCCAGGTGGAGCAGTGGGCAGCTATGTGGGCACCTGGGGAGCAATTAGGGATTGGGTGTCTTGCTCAGGAACACCACGGCATGTGGGCATGGCAGGGAATTGAACCGTGACTTTCTGGTCCCAAGTCGGCTGCTCTGCCTCGACACCATCTCATAAACCCGTGGTCGTGGACTTGGGTCTCTTTTTGCGCTCGGTGGGCGAGCAGCAGACACACGCAGTATGAACTCCCTCTATTATCCCATTTAACTGATTAATATCTACAGCAGGTGAGTCCAGTCCTGGTCCTGGAGGGCCACCATCCTACATGCAGGACATTGACCCTCCAGGACCAGGACTGGACTCACCTGATCGACAGTAATTCTGACGAGTGTCTCGTTTGTTCCTTTAATATTAAAAAAACAAACGATCCAGTTTATTTTAATGAAGCTCTCAGGGCGCCGTAAAGAACTCTGGACTACGGTTGGAAAATACCTTGACTGTGGTGCTGGGTTCAAACTTAAAGGCCTTGGTCTGCCCGTTCTCCAGATACACCTTCAAGACGTTCGGCAGGAAGAGCAGCGAGTTCCCCTGAGGATAAACCAGCAGACGGGTCAAAGTGTTGTCATCGTTAAAACCAGCAGAAGTGACAAACCAGGACAGGAAGACGAGCACTTTACCGTCATTCCGTTTCCTGTTTATGTCTTCAAATATTCAGAATCCACATTTACAAAACAGAAATCCACTTCCTGTTCTTCACTTTTCCCACTTCATTCCCGTTTTAGGATTTTAGAAAGTGATTTTCTATGCCTGAATGTTTTGCAGTTCAAACAAAGGGCGGTCCAGTTTAGTGAAACCCTTCTGGTTTGCCATCTCCGCTCTCCGATGCGTCTCCCTCCATGTTTCTCTCCATAATCTGATGTTTATTGTCCTGTAATCACCGACATTAAGGCCCGAGAACGAAGCAGATATCGATCCGCGCTCTCCTCGTCTTTAGTAATGGGCACTCCAGCCGCTGTGGTTTTCCTCGTCCAGCTGATTTCACATCCCCCGGCAGGAAGGAAGCTCCGACCAATCACAGTGAGGGAAACGCACGGAGCGCAAGACACGGCTGAGAATTATAAATCAGCACGGCTCGTGGTGGTTCAAGAGGCGCAGCCGAGAGTTTTAACGTGTGTCCGTTTTAACACGACAAATCAAACCAAAAGGGTTATAAGTGAAACTTACTATGAACTTTGCAGAACATTTTTCTTGAGTTTAAGAACAAAGCATTTATCTTTATGAGGTTTTATGCGACTCATCTCTTGTGTGCTGCAAACCTTTAATTTAGATTAAACACATTTATTATTTATAAAGAGTTTTGTCACATTATTCAAAATCCCCCCCCCCCCCCCCCCCCCCAAGAAAAGGTTAAAAACAAAACAACTTTACTTTATTTGTAACTGAAGACGTTTCGATTCTCATCTGAGGAGCTTTCTCAAGTCAAAGAAACAAGGAGTGTGGGATACAAGTTATAAAGCAGAAGTGTTCTGTAAGCTTGCATAATGCAGATTGACACATGCAGATTGACCTCTCACTCTTCACAATAGAGGATCGTTAGAGTCTTTGTTAGTCCCACCCACAGAGGGGCCACTCTGGTCACATGGTTAACATTCTTGATGTCAATGTTTTTTTCATGTCTTACTTCACGTCCTGATAAGGACAAGATGTGAAGAGATCTTTTTTGTAATTCCACTATTCTATCCTCATGGCCTTTTCCCCTTTTCCATCTAAAAAGAATTCAGAAAAAGGATGAGGGGTCGCGCTCTCAGGAGCAGCAGCAACGTGCACTCCACCCATCTGTCGGACGACCGCACAAACATAATCTCGTATTTCGGTGCAATGATAATAAAGCTTATTCTGATTCTGATTTAGAGCTGCAGCTCATGTGAAAATAAGAGAGAGAGAGCTGCACAGCTGTACAACTGAAATTTAGTTGTGTTTAACATATTTTATGTTCAGGCATCTAGAATATATTCAGAATCATAATTTTTCCAATAATTTTTAACCCTCCTGCTGCCCTTGGGTCAAAATAAGACAGTGTGGGCCATTTTGACTGAAGCAGCAGGAGGGTTAAGCCCTGCTTAGGAAAAATAGACAAGACATTTCATATAATCATCTAGATGTTTAAGACATTTTCAGTAAATCTGAAAATCACAATAATGAGCTTCAAATGTTAGCATTAGCCTCAGTTAGCCAGCAGCATCATCTTCTGCTACAATGCATTAAGGGCTGTTACATCCATGTACTGTAAAACGTCTGTACTCAACTTTTACTATACAGTACTACAGTACTGAAGCTAATCCTGAAAGTTTTAAGGACACTATTTACTGGAAACATTTAAGTTGAATTTTCAAACACCACTTCACAAATACTTTATTACTGTTATTAGGACTGTAACGGCTCGTTTGCACTGTGCACATTGCCCAGGACATCCTTGTAAATAAGTAATCTCAATTGATTTATTTCCTGATAAAATAAAGGTTTAAATAAAAAAAATTAAAAAACTTCAAAATGGCTGACATTTTAGTGAATGATTCAAATATAGCCGCTGTTTGAATCACGGAGCCAGAACAGCTAAAATCAAACATCCTGGAACAAATATGAACTTTTCCCTGTCTCGTCTTCGCTGCGTCACCAAAAAGCTAAAACTTCTGATCGGTGGATCTAAAACTCACCTGAGAGTGTCCGTTGACCTCCACCTCCTCAGCAAAGTGAACTTTGACGGGGTTGGACCTGAGCTTGGCCCTCTTCTCAGGAGTGATGAACGATGACTTGGGGCCCTGGGATGAGCAACACATTTAGAAAGAGCCATTTGTTACAGATTCCTTAAATCTCAGTAATGATTTCCTGGAGGAGAAGTGAGTGATGAATCACTGCGTAAAAGCTGCTTCCATCAGCACGGCGGCTGATGAGAGGCTCTGAGGAGGAGCCATTTATTTACTAATCTGCCCGTCTGTAACGCAAACACACACACATCGTTTCAGAGAGGCAGCGGCCGAGGCTCACACATGCAGCAGATGTGTGTGTGAAGGAGCTGCAGGGTTCAGCCCTACGGGTCAGCCGTCAGGGAGACGGCAGAGTGGAAACTTGTCAACTCACTTACGACTCAAGCCAAGAAACTGTGGCGTTTCTGCTGAGACCAGCTTTTTAACCCCCCCCCCCCCACACACACACACACACTGGACACACAGTGAACTTAAAGTCTGTACTATATACGCACACACACTGCAACAATTAAACCACACGATAACACTTCTGTCTGCAAATGAAAGATTTAATTATTCAAGATGGCCGCCACAGCTAATTGTGTAAATGTTTATGAAGCATTCATTTTACTGTGATCCATTTTTCTTCCGTACGTTTTTCAGCATCTTTCTCGTTCCACAATTTTTGTGCCATTTCAACAAATCATAAATCAAAACGTTCAGCTCTTTCAGGACAATCCTGCTTTGGCTTTTGGTGTCGGTGCAACTTTAGCTTTTTGAAATATTTAGCCTTTTCTGCCATTTCTTTTCTCATAGCAAAAATGTGCTCCACTTCTTTTTGTTAATTTAAGCTTATTTCTGCTTTTTTAGCTACTTTTCGGCTGTTTTTTTTTTTTTTTCCTAATTTCAGATCTTTACAGATAATTTCCACTTCCTGTGCTAATTTCTGCTTCTTTCAGCCTAATATGGCAAAATTTTGCTCTCTCCACTTCCTTCTGCTAATTTAAGCTTATTCTACCTTTTCAGCTTAGCTAATTTCAGCGGATTCTGTGGTAATGTCTTCTACTTTCAGCCTAATTTAACTTCCTTCTGCTAATTTCAGTTCGTTATGCTTCTTTCAGCTTCTTTCTGCTAGTTTCAGCTTTTTCTGCTATTTCAGCTACTATTTACCGTATTTTCTGGCCTATAAGTCGCAGTTTTTTTGCATAATTTACATGCTTTGTGACTTATGCGCCGAAACAACGTATTTATGGATTTCCCCCCATATTGATAATAAATTTTTGGCTGAGATATGACTGTTTTCATTCACTCAGACTGGAAATATTGAACACTACCATTTTCTGCCGCTAGATGGCACTCGAGTAGTATGGCATGCCGCTGTGTCATGTAATAGGTAAAACGTGGCTATTAATGACACAATTGGCTTGCCATATCCTGCCACCTTAGTCCAGCTCGCCTGGAGCAACCGTCAAATCAGCTTCATTTTGCTGCGCGTCCCCGGCGAAATGAAGCTGATTTGACCTTTGAAATGCATTTATTAAGTAAAAGTTCAACTGAGACACACCTTTACTAAAATGTCGAGCGAACAAATAATTGTTTTAGGTGCTTCGAAGAAATGCACGAGTCATCCCTCTGCTCGTTCCCGCAACTGCGAATCGGCTTTTGAAATGCAACCGATTTGAGCGTCAAAGTGCATTTATTAAGCAAAAGTTAGACTGAGACACATTTGCTGTAATTTCTAGCAAACAATTGTTTTAAGTGTTAATCTTGTTAAATTTTTGGTAAAGTCCTCCGGTGCACGCTCACGCAGTTGCTATTTGGCAGCCAATCGATTTTTGGCACAACACCGGCCCACATTTCTGGGTCGTCAGCGGTGACACATAATAGATGCAGCGTATACGGCGAAGTGACGTATTTATGTATTTTTCCACTTTATTAGAGATATTTGGACGTATGTGACTTATAGGGCGGTGCAACGTTTACGGCGGACAATACGGTAAATCATTATCATTGTTCCACTGCAGCTTTCAGTCACACCTGATGGTTCAGATTCACCTTGAGTCATGTTTTACATTTAACCGTTAGGGCCAGAGTGAAAACTCCGTTTTGAATTAAAGAGTAAAACTTTCTGAAACAAATCTTTGTGGCTGCAACGACTCACCTGGATGATTCTGACCACGGTCATCATCAGCGTATCGTGACACTCCCTGGAAAACAGGACACGAGCTCAGAACCGAGACCAACTTCTTTGTTTCACGTAGAACTTCCAGGAGCATCAGACGTGTGTGTGTGTGCGTGTGTGTAGACCTGATGATTTCAGCAGCCTGCTCCGGGGTCAGGTCATCGACAGCAACGTTATTGATCTTGACGAGCTGGTCTCCAGGGACGAGCCGACCATCTGCAGGACCACCTGGACACACAAAACGTCCTCGTCAGGCCCAAGGGGCTTCAATTAGCCGGCTGCTGGCGGCGCCGACAGGCCGCCACTCTCGTGTCCTTTCATCTCACAGCGAGGCATAATGATTTAATTCTGCCGCCTGCTGAGCTCCCGTCCCTCCACTCCAACACCGAGGGAATAATTCTGTTTCCCGTCACAAAAACACATCCCTCCGGCCCACTTGGCCTCGTTTCCTGCACGACTGTGGAAAAGTCTCGAGTCATCCTGCTTGTTGAAATTAACTGTGGTGCTGCTGAGTCAGCATTATTTTACTATTTGTTTGTTTAATTTTGTAGGCTACGTTCAGTCTGCGCACTTTTAGCCATTTCCGCCTTTCAACCCTGAAAAGCTTCGACTCGTTCAGGAGATGGCTGCTGGGATTTTTAATTTTCATTTTAATTGTTTTAAAAATATTTCCCCCATAGATATGCATGGAAATCTCTTACATTTCTTTAAAAAACATTGTTCTTTGTTTCAGCATACCGACTTATTTTTGTCTTTTTATTCTACTTTTATTTTAAAGCTTTTTATAGTTAACCTTTCCCTACTTTTAGCTTTTATCTAGCCTTGGCTATATTTTGTTTTTAGCTACCATTCTGCTCATTTTAAACTTATAGCTAAACTTTAAGCTTTTAGCTAGCATACATGAATTGACAGATGTAAGTCGGACCCCTTCAGGGTGGGAGTTGGACTCCTCCAGGGCTGCCCGTTGTCACCGGTTCTGTTCAGAACTTTTATGGACAGGATTTCTCGGTGCAGCCAGGTGGCGGAGGGAGTCCGGTTCGGTGGCTTCAGGATTCCATCTCTGCTCTTTACAGATGATGTGGTCCTGTTGGTGTCATCGTGCTCTCACTGGAGCAGTTTGCAGCAGAGTGTGAAGCAGCTTGGATGAAGATCAGCACCTCCAGATCTAACACGGTCCTCAGTCAGAAAAGAGTGGACTGTCCTCTCCAGGTTTGGAGTGAGGATCTGCCTCAAGTGGAGGACTTCAAGTAACTCGAGGTTTAATTCACGAGTAACAAAGAAAGAAGTGTGAGACTGACAGATGGATCTGTGCAGCTTTTGCTGTATTGTGGACTCTGTGCCGGTCCATTGTGGTGAACAGCTGAGCTGTAAGGAGAAGTTCTCAGTTTTCTGGTCCGTCTACATTCCTACCCTCAACTAACGTCACAAACTCTGGGCAGCGATCGAACGAACTTGATCGTGGATACAGGTAGGTAAAATGAGTTTCCTCCGCAGGGTAGCTGGACTCTCCCTTAGAGATAGGCTGAGAAGTTCAGTTATCCAGGAGAGACTCTGAGAAGAACCACTGCTCCTCCTCCTTAAGAGGAGCCAGTTGAGGTTGTTCAGACATCTGGTAAGGACGCTCCCTGGACGCCTCCCTAGGGAGGTGCTTCAGGCATGCCCAACTAGAAGGAGATCTTTAGGAAAGACCCAGGACACGCTGGAGAGACTGCGTCTCTCGGCTGGTCTAGGAAAGATGTCTGGACCTCCCTGCACCTGCTGCGCCCCGACTTCAGACAAGTGGCAGATGATGAATGAATGAATGAATGGATGAATGGATGAAATGTAATTTCTCTAGTTATAAACAGATTTCTCCTATTTGCTGTGTTAATTTGTTGTCTGTCATGTTAGCAAAATATCCAATGACCGAGTGGACAGACTTAAATGGGTGGGAGTGGTGGCGCAGAGGTTAGAGAAGAAACGGAAAGTCACAAGCTCAACTCCCTAGACTGACGACATCAAAATGTGGGTGGAAAAGGTGAAACACCCACCTGCCTCCACCCACATTTGCACCACTCTGGGCCCTTGAGCAAGACCCTTAACCCTCACCACCATCTGCTCCCAAAAACAGGTCTCTCTTGAAAAAGAGTTCTCGTGACTCAATGAGACTACCTGTATAAATAAAGGGTAAATAAAAATAAATGAAATAGAAAATATGAATTCACTGCACGTCTACAATGGGTTCCCTTTTGGAGGTACCTGAATTCAATATGGCCGCCAAACTCCGTTTGACAGATACTGAGCTACAGTTTGTCTTGTAGTGACTGAGAGTCATCCTAAACAAACATCTTGAGCACTTCCATCAAGATGTCGCTGCGTTGAGTCGCAGAATGTTAAAGTCAAAGTTTTAACCAAAACTCCTAAAATTGTCTTTTTTCTAGATAAGATACCATTTTATTTATAAAGCACTTAAAACAGCGACAAGGCCAACCAAAGTGCTGTACAAACAAAAACACACAAAGCAATATACAAAATGAGGTAAATCAGAATAGACATAAAAACGTTGCAGATAATAAATATAACGACTAACCTGTGTGAAGCAAACGGGTACATACAAGATGATCAAAGTCTAAACATGTGGTATGAAGGGTGATGATTTCCTTCAATGAATTCATGATCTTTAAGAAAAGAAAAGGTTTTTGTCCACAGTTATGTTTCTTACTATAGTTTATTTGTTCCAGAGCTTCTTCTGGCTAATAAGAACCCCATTTGTCATCTTCCTCCTCCTCCTCCTCCTCATCACCTCTCGTTTGTTATCCCAGAAGAACTGAACGGCTGCTCTGCTGATCACGTCGATCTTCCTGGATTGATTTTGGACATTCATTCTGGTTGATGTTGTAGCTGCGGGTTGCGCAGAAAACAAATGTGCAAAACTTCCAAAAAGTTCAATAAAGTCAAAGAGAAAGAACCGGAGCGCGTCGATTCAGCCCGTTGTGTTAGAAATGCAAAGAAAATCAAGTTTCTGTCCGTGAACCAAACGCGTCCAGCAGGGGAGCCTGTGGTTGGACAGAGGATGGATGGATGCTGGGTGTACACTCTGGAGGCGTCAGAGCTCCAGAGAGGAGGAGGCCGAGTTCAGGAGGAGCCAGTCCGAGCAGGGGAGGCCCTGGTCGTCAGCTGTTTGGTAACCTCGTCATCTGCTCTTCCATTCATCACGGCTGAATGAATGAGCAGCAGCATCACCTGAATAACCCTTTAGTTCACACACAGAAAGCGTCTCCGGATGTTTCCTTGAAACAAACACGAACAGATGTCGGCGGCGCTCGAGGCCGTGGAGATGCTTTGGAATAAAGGATTCAGGTTTCACCCAAAAGATGATCTCAGAGACGGAATATTGAGCCAGGACTCACTGAGGCTGACATGAGTGCATGTGGGGGGTCAGAACCCTGGTGTTCTGCATCTTCAGCATCAAAAGCAGAAATATATTTACAGACTGATCTAAAAAAAAAAAAAAGTGTATTTTTCTCCTTTCGTGACATCTGAACAGGCAGACATTTTTCTCCATTATATTTAATTTTAACATTTCCTTTTAGTTGGTGGCACGGTGGCTCAGCTGATAGAGGTGTCGCCTCTCAGTGAGCAGGTCGCTGGATGAAATCCCGGCCGGGGGGCCTCTCTGGGTGGAGTTTGCACGTTCTCTCCGTGCATGCGTGGGTTTTCTCTGGGTACTCCGGTTTCCCCTCACAGACCAAAAAACATGAATGTTAGGTTGACTGGTGGCGCAGAGGTTAGAGAAGACGAGTCTGATCGAAAAGTCGCAGATTCAACTCTCCGGACTGACAACATAAAAAGTTGGTTGCGAAAGGTGAAACGCCCACACCTGCCTCCACCCTCATTTGCCTCACTCTGGGCCCTTGAGCAAGGCCCTTAACCCCAAACATCTGCTCCCAAAAAAAAGTCTCTCTTGAAAATGATTTCTCATGACTCAATGAGACTTCCTGTATAAAAATATAAATTGTCTCTAGGTGTGAGTGAGACAGTGAATGGCTGTTTGTCTCTCCGTGTCCCTGTGATGGACTGGAGACCTGTCAAGGGTGTCCCCCACATCTCGCACAGCGACTGCTGAATATGCGACCCACAGCCCGAAAAGAAAGAAACGGATAAAGATAATGGATGGATTTCCTTTTACCCAACATCTGTTTTGATAAATATTCCAAGTAATTTTAACCAACAGCCGGGAAATAAAATATAAAATAGAGGAAAAGTTAGTTTCTTTGCATTTAGTCTGAACTAGTTGTAGCTCATCAGTCTAATAGGAAATAGTTTGTTTTTCCAACCCAAAATCTATCAAAGAGCTATCTACAGCAGGTAAGATATCAACTGTTTATAACCTTTTACAGAGAAAATCACTTTAAAACAAATAAAACTTTCCTTTAATTGCAAGTTTCGTTAGATGTCAGCGTTTCATTTTAACCATTTATTGTCAACTTTATTTAAAAACTCAATATATTTTTGCTTTGCATACGATTTATTTCAACAGATTTCCAGACTGGATTTCTTTATCAGACATGAATTGATAACGATCTGTCTGAAGTCCTGGTGATGAAGCAGCACGCTCACTGGTGCTGGTTTATCCGTATGGAAACGGTCAATGTTCAGGCTGTCCGGTGTACCTTCAGCTGTTTGTTTCTAGCCCACACAAAGACAACATCAGTCCTACGCTGCACTTCCTTTGTTTGTAGTTTTCTGTGCGTCTCTGCAGGATCAGCATGCACGGAGAGCCCAACTTTTGGTGCTTCGTACCGATCAGAGGTCTGCGGCGGCCTGGCTCAGCTTCACACTTTGGATTACTTTATGCAAATTAAACCACAAACAACTGATGAGAAGACCTTTGTCACATCGTAACTGAGAAGCTGCACGCCAATTTTCACAGCAGTGCTTGTTTGAATTTGTCAAGAACATAAACTTTTTTTTAAACTTGAGAAATTATCTTTTGGAAACTTCCATCCATCCATTATCTTTACCCGCTTCTTCCTTTCTGGGTTGAAACTCAATTCTCAAATCTTAGATTCAACAAAATATTGAATAAATTTTAAATAAATACGGTCCAAATGATGACACTCTTAAAACGGGCAATGAAAATCTACGATTTTTGTTTTTGCACGAGTTGGATCCTCGACGCCACCTGTCAATCACTCCAGCACGCTAGTCAGCAACTGACCAATCAGCAACGTCAATTTATCCCGAAGGTAAACGCACCTCACCTGCAGGAGCTCCACCCCCTTTTCCTCCCACAACATTGTAGGGGTTTTGCATTACGAACACTTTGCAGTCAGAGGTTAACGGTTAAATTAAAGGGTAATGCTTAAAGCTAGTTGTGCTTTGTTTTGAGTGTTGCAACTTCTAGTTGCATAAGTTTAGTCTTTGTTTGCTATGATCCTTAAAAAGTCCTGTTTGTGACTGAGCTCCTCGTTTACAGCCACACCACCCTGAACACGTCTGATCTCAGCAGGGTCGGGCCTGGTTAGTATCTGGAAGAGAGACCATCTGGGAATAATACCAGGTGACATAAACTTTTGCACTTCTCACAAACAACACCATGGGGAGTGTTGCTCAAGCCCAGAGCCATCGTCACTACTGGGGGCTAAGTACCCCTAAAGGTTAGATACTAGGATCGCCCCTGCCCTGGACAGGTCATTTGCCATGCAACTAAACAATTAAACTCGAGAGACTAATTCTGAAATTTTTTGTTAAAACGGGTCAAAATCTGAATTATTTGGACCCCACAACAGTTTGCATGTTTGGCGTAAACCAACAGTATTCCAAGTAAAGAACCTCGTCCCTCCGGTGAAACACGGAGGTGAAAGAGTCATGGTTTGGGGCACTTTGCTGCAGCAGGACCTGACCGGCTCACCATTATCGAATCCACTACGAGTTCTAATCTGTGTCCGAAAAATAAAACTGGACCACAACAATTTTATTTATTTATTTATTTTTAGCTGTGCATCGTCATCATTGAATGTTACAATGATTAAATTGGTTCTCCCCATTTAATCCATCACACCTGAGATACACCCAGGTGGAGCCGCGGGCAGCTATGTGTGCTCCCGGGGAACAGTTAGGGATTAGGTGTCGTGCTTAAGGAAACCACGATAGGTGGGCATGGCTGGGAGTTGAACCTGCAACTTTCTGGTCCCAAGTTCTAACACACCAGTCAGTTTTACAGATATTGAGCTAAGATTTGATGTGGTAGTAGCTGAGTGTCATCCTCAGTACTAACAGATTACAGATCTTCCAGTGTCGCAACAGATTGTGTCATTACGTCGTTAACGAGGTTTGATCAGTTTAGTTGTAACTTTGTCTCTCATCACAAAATTACTTTAGCTGTTGGTTTTCGGTCCTACCTGCGGTGATCTCCTGCACCAGGATGGGGGTCTGGGATGAAAGGATGAGGCCGTGACAGTTGAGGTCCGGGTCTCTTTGGATCTGAACGTTGAACCGGAACGGGTAATTCCTCTGATCAGAGCCGCTGGACTCTGCAGCCGTCCTGTCCCCGGCTGCGCGATCTCTGGAGGAGAAGAGTTTGATTACATTATCTGAATTTCTCCATTTTTAAAAGGAAATACAGCAGTCCCTCGTTTATCGTGGGGGTTTGGGACCACACCCTCCCCCACTCCCCCCGGCAATATGTGAAAAACCGCAAAGAAGGGATACAGTAGTCCAAGTTCTATCACGATCAGCTGGTGGTTGAGACCCAAATGCAAGCAGGACTCCAACGAGGTCACAAAAAGGTGTTTTAATCACCAAAAAAGGCAACAATAACATATAATGCTGTCGGGGCAGCGATACTACTTGCATTCGTAGGAAATACATGGAATACCAAGGTACTAGGAGACGACAGTGAAGGTGCAGCTTAACACCTAATGCTCCCCTGCCTGAGATGCAGGAGAGCACAGTATATAAAGGAGAGTCGCTAATTAAACCCAATATGTAGCACCTGAGAGTCATTAACTATCTGCACCGAGCAGGGCAGGTGCAGATCCCTACAAGTTCAAGTAAACTTTAGTGTCATTACCATCTCGTGTGGTACATGAGATGGAACAAATTTATGTACACTACCCTTCCCACACTCTTGAAATGTCCCTAACAATTTTCTAAACTGTCCACGCTCTAAAAGAGTACAGCATGCTATGATCTCAGCTCTCTCGCCCACTTCTCCGCTGTAGAGCCGAGATCTGACATGACGCAGGAAGACGCTTCTCCTGCAGCTGTGGGCTGCACACAGGTGCAGCAGGTGCTCAATAATTTAAAATAATTTATTTTAAATTAAATTTCCATGCCGATTGTGTGGCTCATCCATCAATCAGACAATTGTGTATCATGTCCAATCTTACATTGAAAAACCGCGATACAGCAAGTCTGTGAAAAATTAACCGTGAAGTAGCGAGGGACTACTGTACACGTTTAATAAAACAACAGAGAATTAGGACGCATGCTGCGAGTTACAGAAAAAACAGGAGCTCAGATTAAAACCAGTGACATATTTTCTGAAGATCGTGACAGGAGGACGATTGTTAAATTTCAGCGGCACTCTGCAGGTGTTTGGGGAATGACGGCAGCAACAGCTGCAATTTACGTTACTTTCTTTGCACCTGCGGGTGAATTTGTTCTATATCATGACGTCGTGTTCAATTCAGCATCAAATTACTAACAAGAGTACCTCAACAGACACATTACACGTCAACAAACTATTTTACAGCAATCTACAGCAAGGGCCAGGACAAGCAAAGACCTTGTATAAAATTGACCTTGGTTTGTGACCTTGAACTTGGAGCTGGATTGATGAAAAGTTCGGTCAAAGCCCAGACAGGAAGTTTACAGATGCACGGAGACTAAACCACAACATGGGCATCTTTCCACGGGCGTGACTGAAAAAAGCACGATTTGAATATAAATAACTATTTGAAAAAATAAAAATAAACTGTAAAGATGTGGCACAAGTCCTCAGAACTCAAAACTGTAAAATTAACATGCCGGTGTCCCCCGTCGCTGAAGGACTTGGAGAGTGAATTTTTCTACTTCTCATCATGAGTGTTTTTCTGGACAGGAATTGAACAGGTAATGTAAGTAAACCTACATGTTTTTGGTGCAAGATCAGGCTGTGTAGAAGAACAGATGTAGTTTTAGGTTTGTTTTTTAAATCTTGTCTGAGGCAGAGCAGAGAGACGGATTCTGGTGAGTGGAGGGGCAATTTTATTCACCGCCAGGCACAATGGTGGAGCCAGGGGGTGGTCAATGGGGGCCTTGGATTAATCTTTGGCCACCCCAAAATCCACCCCAATCATTTGAGAAAATTATACTTTTAAGTAATATAAAAACTAGAAAACGGTTTTCTCAAATGATGGTAGGGGGCGCATTTTACATATATACATATATGGTGGCAGCCATCTTGGATTTTGATGTGGCAACATAATTTTCAATAATGATATTTCTTACTCGTAGATGCAGCCACATACCAAAATTGAAGTTGGTACCTTACTTATGTTTTGCAGTTGTCGTGCTCAAAACATGCACAGACAGAAGGTATTTCTCTTTTTTGCTCTGCGACATGGGACAAAAACAGTCACACTTAAAGTAGAGGCATCTTATCCAGTTAGAATGGCAATAATATAACTTTTATATCACTTCATTCTATGTTTCGGGTCTGGAAACATTTATCCAATGTGAAGAGACTGAAACTCGGTTTGCAACAACTTAAAGTTATTTAAAATGGATTAAACCATCTTTCTGCCATAGAGAAGCTGGATAGGACTGAAACTCACTAATTATCTGACTAGATCAGACAATTTTTAATTTAGGAAGTTTATCTACATCAGAAGTAAATGATTAAAACTAGACAATGCAGTAAACGACATAAGTGATTTAAAAAATTATGTTTTCTGGGTAATATTTCACTAAATAGTGTAGATTTTGATTTTCCCCCTTTGAAATTATCTGCAAAGTTTTATTTATCATTAGACATTTATAGAACGTCCTCCATTCAAACATGAATCAACGAATAAGTGGGAAAACCTTTACCTGCCTGCAGAGTGAGACCGGCTGCCCAAGTCTCGGGACCGTCGGAGCCATCGTCCCACCACCTGCTCCACTCGGCTCGTCCTGCGGGACGGGGACCGGCTTCGGTCCTGCAACTCCATTTATCTAATAAAGACAAAGACAAATGAACAATAAACATCTCAAATTAAAGTTAAAATTAAAGCCAGAGGGGTTGACGTTTTTCAGATCTGTCCTCAAACACGTCCACGCGAGTGAAAAATGGCTCTGCGTGGCAAAGATTATCCACAAATCAGGTAAACTCAACCTGTGCCTTTTTTTTTTTTTTACAGAATCAGTTAAATAAGTCCTGAATGAAGACCTGTTTTGAATCAGTTTCTGTGGCAACAGTAAATAAAAATAAATAAGTGAGCTTTTGTGCCGTGAAGACAGAAGCTTTGAATCAGAACAATACAACACACACCGGCTTTAATCAAGCACTGACAATACCCAGCTTTGGATCCTGGAAACTTGCACAATCATTTTAAAATGGAAACGAACCCAACTGAACAAGAGCACTGCATCCAGATCATTACACGCCTGTTACAAATTATCATACAGCAATCTATAGCAGCAGCTGACTATACCACAATACATCTGCCTTTTGACAGCATGTAAAAAGTCCAAATGTTCTGTACTTCCTGTAAGTGATGCAAATGAAAACAAAAACAAATATCTCCAACATTAGTAGAATAATAATGACGATAACAATGTGAAATAGGACCATCACATCAGTAAAATGTGCAATGAAAGGTCTTTTGGAAGACGATTCACACATTAAGCTTTGCAGGATTCAGGACACCTTAGAAACTGTACCAACCGGTACAACACCGACCTGACTGAACATTGATGGATTTATACCTGGATGATTGAGCATGAACTTTGGTGTACCTGGTACCCATTTTTCTGGCTTCAAATTTATATTTGACTGGATCTGTGAAGTTCTTTTGCATAAAGCCCATCTTCAATTATAGTTAGGTTTCGGTTATCCAGGTTGATGAGGCACAGAGGTAAAAGGTCCAGGAGGGAAACCAGACAGTCACTCCCCAGCTCCTCCTGGAGGATCCTGAGGAGTTCCCCCAGAAAGGATATACAATCCCTTTAGTGAGTTTTGGGTCTGCTCTAAGGATTCCTCTCAGTAGGATACGCCTAAAGAAGCTCCTCTCTTCATCTCTAAAGCTGAGCTCAGTTTCTAAAGATTCATCTATCCATGACACAAGAACTGGATTTCAAGATACTTCGACTCCTCTGCCTCCAACTCCCCCCAAAAACAGAAGTATTCCACATGTCTCCAGATGAGAACCACGGCCTTAAATTTAAAGGAACCGACTTTCATCCCACTGTTTCCCACATGACTGCAAACTGGCCCAGGTCCTGGCCCAAAGATGCCCACAGAACCACATCATATGCAAAGAGCAGAGCTGAAAGTCAGAGGTCCACAAACCAGTGACCCTCCCCTACATGATAATCAGTGATCGAGTTGGCGTATTCATTCATTCAACCTTTATTTATACCGGTTAGTCCCATTCAGCCTCGGGGACTCAATTACAAGAGACCTGTTTTAATGAAGAGTGATGACAACAGTGGACAACAAAGACAAGAGTAGACAATCGTAAAGGATGCATACAAATTGAGAAGAACAAATGAAAGAAAATGGTAATAAAAAACAAAACAAAAACAGCTGGATTATAAACGATGTAGAATGCCCAAAACAGGAACATGTCTGCATTGGTTTTTGCCATGAACTTCTCTCTTATTTGAATAGCGAGGTAGTTTAATGTCCCTGACAACGCTGATAACGCAACGATCGCTCATTTGATCAGCAAAAGCACCCAAACCAGGGAATTTATGGGGTATATTTGTTAAAAAGGTCTAAAATGGAAGATTTTTCAGGACAACGCTTGTTAGGTTTGGTGGGAGTGTCAATGATTTGGGCCATTCCTTGAATTTATCAGTAAACAATCTTAAATAAAGAACAAAGCAGAACATAAAGCTCAGAGAAAAATAAAATCTGATTTTATTATTTGATATATTTAAAAACATCAGTTGAATGAGTTGATCGGGTTTGTTGAGAATGACCGAAATGATCCGGTTTGTGAATCAAACTTGGTCTATGGCCAACTGTGATGTCACTCGTGGCACCTGATGGGCTCTCAGTCTGATTAATGAGCCATTTGATACAACAACCATCATTATCGATGGTTCCTGATTTCTAATAACAACGTTCTCTTCTCTAAATGGGTCCCTGATGCCCAGCAGTGAAGCAGCTGGTTGTCATGGAGGTCTGTTAAAAGCCTGCGGTGGTCACTGGGGTGTAATGGATCCGGGTCTGCTCAGGGTCTTTAGAGTGTCCTAATGGGCCATTGTTGAGTTTTCTAATATTTTAGGTAATGCCATATCATCTTACAAGCAAACACATTTATTAAAGTGAAAGTTTAGATATTTTGAAATGGGGTAAGGTACTGAACGATTAATATATTTCCTGTTGTAGATAATCTTGTGGATAATTAAGAGTTTAAATCTTTAAGCATCAATTTAAAATGGTGTTTTTTTTTTGGAAACACTATTTTATATACCTTTACACTTTACAGTTATTTCAGCAGAAATAAAATGACGTTCCAGCAGGAAGTGGCTCTAAGCTGCACTGGAAGTGCTACAGTTACAGTAGCTGCTGCCACCGCCGCCACGGTTTCATTTGCAATGAACACCAAAATCAAAATGACAATCAATGTTGATAGTTCCAAACATTTACTCAAAACTCTGCTCCAAAAGAGCGGAACTATTGTTTAACGCTCAGCAGAATGAAAAATTCATTAATGATTTTTGACTAAATGTGATTAGAAATGTAAAAAGTCTCAAATGTTTTTATGTATTATTTTCTTTTTATTCTAAACGCAGATAACGCAGTTTACATATTTAACTTCCTTTAGATTTTTAAGCTCTAAACATCATTTCAGAACAGAACAAATCAAAAGTTTATGAACACAAAACGTAAAAAAATAGTGTTTTTCAAATATTGCTTTTGTGCTTCTCGTGATTGAATATTAGAATATTGAATTAAAACCCCTGAGAGTTGAAAAATAAAATCAACCAAAATCTTGTGAAATGGATGTTTAACCATTAGGATCTTTGGATTCAAACGAGTTTTTTTGTGTGCTGCCAAAAAAAAGAGGGCAATTGTTTACAGTTATTGCACGTCAACAACAAAACTGATTGTTTACAATGAATCAAATTATTTTGAACGATGCATAAAAGAGCATTCACTCATTCATTTAATCCACCAGTCCTTAGATGTTTTAATGCAGGGGTGCCCACGCTTTTTCAGCATGCAAGCTACTTTTAAAATGACCCCAAGTCAAAGTGATTTAAGACCCCGTTCACACAAGAACCTCTGGAAATGTTAGTGTTTTTTCAATGGTTATTGGGGAAATAAACAAAAAATGAGTGGGTTTACACGAAAACGCTATAGTTCCCATGTCAGTCGGGTTGCCAGATAAGAAATGAACTATAGTAATGTGGCTTTAAAATGACAGTATTTTGACCTAAACTTTCATATGTGCTGAGTAAAGATATTCTAAGACACATCAGAGTCAGTTTCTTTATTTGTCATTTGCACCACATGTGGTACATGTGGTGGAACGAAATTGTGTACACAGGGTCCCAGTTACATCCAACAATAAAATGTAAAAGAAAAACAGTAATAAGATCTAAGATATGAACTAAGAAAAACATTAACTAAAAATATGCTAAGCACTAATAGCATATAAACAATACGTCGAACAGCAGCACGAACATGAGTCTGTGTGAGCAGCTGAGTGCGAATAAACAGCAACATGAAACAGATCAGCAGCAACATGAAACAGATCAGCAGCAACATGATGTGATTATTCTGGTTAGAGATTCATGAGTCTAACAGCCTCAGGGTAGAAGCTGTTCCTCAGTCTAGTGGTTCTACACTTAATGCTCCTCAACCTCCTTCCTGAGGGGAGCGGGGCAAAACGTGTGTGTGCTGGGTGAGTGGGGTCCTTCATGATGCAGGTGGCCCTCTTCCTGCTTTCTGTCAAACTCAAGGTCCAGGGGGGCAAATGTGGCCTTCACTGACATTTTCTCTGGCCCCCAATATGCTATGTTAAACGTAAAATACTTTTATCCCCTACATTATTTTATTAATTTTTGATTATGATGTGGAAAGCGCAACAGAGAACGTCAAATGAGACCAATCGAACTCTTGTTGAGGAACCTGTGATGAAGATGAAGAGAAGATGGTGGGTGTCTAACTCGAGTTAATGTAGTTTTTGAAATTGGCCCTTGAACCAAGTTTTTAATTTTGGCCCCCTTTTGTAAGTGAGTTTGACACTCCTGTTAAGATAAGGTGTGCGTTGTTTGTTGAACATGTGCACAGAAAAGGAGGGGGTAAATAAGACATTTTAAGTTTATCTGGCATTATCTGTTATTTGTTATAACTGTTATTTATTATAACTGTTTTTATTTATTATAACTGTTGTTATTTATTATAAGCGTTAGTGCAGGAAAACTTTGAACTGCAGCCGTCTGGAGTGCGCATGTGCAACTTCACACTTTCGGAGCATTTCACACCTCCAAGGGGGGGTTCCCCTGAAAACTTCTACTCTGGGACCTGGAGGTTTGAGAGACAGTGAGGGCAAATGAACAGTCGAACAACTCTGACAGGCTGCCCTGTATGTCGGTCAAGTGACAAATTTCATAGCGAGGATGGAGGACTGGCTGACGTCTTATTTTTTTAATGCCATGACATCTACCCGTACTGCCTTTGCGATCGACCGATAGAACGCAATCAACGTATTGGGCAGCCCTGTTTTAAAGCATTGAATGCATCACTTGTGTGTGTGTGTGTGTTCAGATTCATCCGTGCCTCCGTTTAAATCTTCATCACGATGTTTGTTTCTTGATTCACGTTGGAGTCCGACGCCTCAAACTAAATTTACTCTCCGTTAATAAATGCCCCGTTAAGTGATTCATGCATTCATCTCTTCTGATCAGGAAGGAGTTCGCCTGCAGACAGACTGGGACGATTCTGAGCATTAACATCTTCCGTTAGACAAAATAAAAGGCAGGAAGATGAGATGAGG